TTTTATTTGTGATGTATAATGAGTTGTTTGTGCATACACCTGGATGCCTCCTACCTTTTCCACAGCACTGGTGATCTCCCAACCACTTTTGGCCACCAACTTTTTGAAAGCCTCCACATTGTCATCACTCAGGGATACCTAAAATGCAAATATTTAAAAACCTGTGAGTTCAATGCACAGATATGGGAATATTTTCTGCTTAAAAATGGGTACTTTTAGAGCCAAAGTGATTATGTTGAGCTTATGCTACAAGTAACTTCTGTCTCAAACTCTTAATTCAGAATTCAGACAAGGTAACATGAGGCCTGTATGTTTAGCAAATTAATATGATTTTAGTTGGTGTGCTAAGCAAAGACAAGATTGCCCTTCAGTATAACTTATTAATAAACTTGGATTTTCCTTTACATTTTTTGGCCCAAAACATGAAAACAACTAATACTTTGTTGTTGTGTTATAAAAATGCAAGCTGGTGGGCATGTTTTCAGCAAAAATTGTGCTAAGACAATGTCCGATGCAGCTCAGATGCATTTGAAGGCAGAGCATCCTGCGTTTGTAATTTGGGAACTGTACCTACAGTTCAAACAAGGCAGCGAAGCAAATGGTTGGTAACCAGTTACTGGCAGCTTGGTTCTGTTTCCTGGTGAGATGACTGGTTGCTATGATTCACCTTTTCATCTAACCTGTGTAAGCACAACCTGAATCATTTAAACAGGGAGTTTCTGTGTTTGCAATGATGTGATCTTTACACGAAGCGCTCCGAATCATAAAACTGTCACCTGGTTGCGAATATCCCAGTGTACGCTAAGTGGAATCTCTTGTTTGTGGGAAATAACATATTTTCTGGGGGGAGAAAAAAATAAAATGTTAAGTAACAGTTTTCTTCCCTGTAGTTAGCACACAACAGTAACCATGACACACACTTTCTTGAGCTGAAATCAGCAGTTTAAAATGCTGCTTTTACTGGTGAAACAATCAGGAAGAACAACTTTCATCACTGTCAGAAAACATCAGACCTTCTCTCCCTTCATTATGTGGAACTAGACACCCAGAGAGCAGCTCTTTGTTATGCAGTTTGCAAGGTAAGATCTTACACCATAAAATCCTTATACCCCGGCCCCTTACCTGCCCAGACGAATTCTCTTGCGTGCAATAGCTCCACAATACCGTCTAAAATCATCCTTTAATAAAAAACAAACAAAAAACCCCAACAACAACAAAGTAAAATCAATAAATTTCTAATACTTTAGTGCTATAACCTTAAGTCTCTCTCTTTCCAAGTCAGCTGAAGAAGCAAACTGGGACCCAGTGTCTGCGTGACTGCCGCTCAGGTGAGAGTTGGCAATAAGGCAACTGCAGGTAGTTCCCATGAACGTGGAGCAGCACGGACATGCGGATGTAAAGTGGGAGAAGAGAATCAGAAACGGGAAAGGAAGACAATATGCTTCCAATAGCAGTGCATGGCCCAGTTGAGGTGAGGTAGGCAGGGCCCCCAGTGAGACAGTATAGGGGTAATATCTGGACTCCATCTTGGAGGCCTGACTATGGCTCCTTGCTCAGGAACCTTAACATAGTTGAAATTAACCTAATCACATCCTTAAAGGGAAGACTGCACAATAAGATCCCTTCTTAACATCGTGTTCTGCAAAATAGTTGCTTTGTCTATTAAGTGGTAACTAGAATATTTGCCCAAGCATTATTTTATAGGCCCTTTGAGTGGTCCA